TAAATTAAAACAATTAGTCCCTTTGATAAATTTGAACAAGGCATTAAGAAGACAAATTTCGCGAGATGATATCATTTCGTAGTTTCTTTACAACCGCTTTACAACTAACATGGTTAACAATGATAAAATAAAGTTCATGAAATTTACTCAGTTAAATAAAAACAAAAGTACATACTAATGACCAATCATATTAAGATAGGTCATGCAGTCCAGGGTAGGCGAAGATTGAAGTCTATTGATTTTTGTACACACAGTTTAGGCTGTATGTGATTAATCCAAAGTGCTTCCATCACCTTCAATAACCTTGAATCAGAGTTATGTGAAATAATTGTGAAACAGTCATTAATATTTATTTTGTGACCAGACATTAATAAGTGTTTTGCGATGGATGATGCTGGATTTCTATTAAGATTAGTCGCGCGAGTGCACGAGTGACACACTGATGGATGAGCTTCGACATATACATTCAGTTTTATTAGCTAATGGTTATCCGGAGAGCTTTATCACTTGTCACAGCAAAGAAAAACCACATCTCGAAAAGACAGCTTCTGTACCAAAGAAAGCCATCTTTATTAATCTACCATTCAAGGGCGACCAGATTATGCAGTTGACAACTCAAAGACTTCGATCAGCCATCAAACGCACATTCTACGCCGCATCTCTTTTTCTCACTTGCCGAACATTTTCGATCCCTGTTCCTACGATTAAAGGACGAAATTCTGTGGACTCTACTTCAAACTGTATCTACAAGTTCACCTGCAGCTGCGGTGACACCTATATAGGTAGAACTAACAGAATGTTCCAATGTCGTCGAAAAGAACATATTCCAAAATGGCTAGTAAATCATATCGAAAATCCTAACGCGACTAATCTTAATAGAAATCCAGCATCATCCATCGCAAAACACTTATTAATGTCTGGTCACAAAATAAATATTAATGACTGTTTCACAATTATTTCACATAACTCTGATTCAAGGTTATTGAAGGTGATGGAAGCACTTTGGATTAATCACATACAGCCTAAACTGTGTGTACAAAAATCAATAGACTTCAATCTTCGCCTACCCTGGACTGCATGACCTATCTTAATATGATTGGTCATTAGTATGTACTTTTGTTTTTATTTAACTGAGTAAATTTCATGAACTTTATTTTATCATTGTTAACCATGTTAGTTGTAAAGCGGTTGTAAAGAAACTACGAAATGATATCATCTCGCGAAATTTGTCTTCTTAATGCCTTGTTCAAATAATAATAAAGATAAAATAGCAAATCAAATATCAACTAAAATTAAGAAAATTCCACAAAAATTGAGAATCATTCAAACCTGGTTACATAGGCCGTACAATTAGGCGTGTTTCTCGTCGAATCTCCGAACATCACCTTGTGTTCTTAAGTAAAGGACAAACAAAATCTATTCGTAGAGCTATTCTATCTCATCTTGTGGATACAGAACACAAAATTGATTGATGTTAACCAGGCTTTCAGAGTCATTTATAGCATACCAACAAATCTCAATTTCACCTTAAGAGCTCGACTACTAAATATTGCTGAAGCTTAACAAACCTAATTTGTGCATCCAAGAGAAGTTAGTTCAGATATTATCATTACCTTGGCCGTCTAGGTTTGAATGATCCTCAATTTTTGTGGACTTTTCCTAATTTTAGTTGATATTCTATTTGCTACTATATCTTTGTTGTTATTATTATTATTATTATTTCAGCATCTTTAATGAACTGTGGTAATTCCATTGTGATCTTACTTTACAAATTGCTCGTATTAAAAAGACACTAATATTGTTATTGACTACTAGTCTAGAATATTCTGTGTATATAAACATATGCATATAATTGTAATTGTAATTTTCGCTATATAATTTAGTTGTATATTTTGTGTGCTGATTACACGTTGATGATGGACTAAGGCGTGAATGTACACATGCCGTTAACTAATACTAAATTCACTTTTAAGTTTAAAAATTAACAATCAACCTTTAGAAGCAATGAGAAACCCAAAGGCTATCGCATCAATGTAGATTTAGTTCTCTTAACCTTAGATGTTTACACCAATTGTCATCAAGAGACTTGTTCTGTAGTGATCTGATCTGCTTTAAGGTTGATCACGGGCTGTCACCAGTCAAAGAACCATTAGAAAACCGGAGAGTTTGTTTTAGTTTTTAAGACTCTTCATCAGCACACTCCCACCGGGATTTGAATCCAAGACCTTCCATTTACAAGGTGGTGAGCTGCGTAGATCAATCAGTCACTGAGACCCCGATCCAATGGCCCATGGAATTCCAACTTCTGCCATTTCGTGATTTTGGCGCAAACACTAGTCAATATCATCGACGAGTCTTGATTTATTATCCTCTGTCTTGTTTTCTCTCCATTGTTTATTTATTTATTTTTTGTTTCCTGTTACTCAACGTGTTATTTGAAACCAAGTACCCTATTCTGAGTATTTCATCTTTGTTATGGACACTTTTTAATTATTTTCTTTCATTTCAATTCACCCACTGGTATAGTCTTTCGCTATATTCCTATTTTTAGTTTGTAAATTTAAACTCTCGATACAGTTTTATTTCATATTGATATTTCGGTTAAATTCTAGATATATTTATAACTCGTTATTATCTTTACCATGGCAACTCCATTCAATGTATCAATATGTACTTTTATGGATGTTTCCATTTCGTTTTAATTACATTATCACTTCGTTATGGATCATACACACTTATTGAACTTGAACTTAACACTTATCTGTCGTCAAAACATCCACGTTGTTTATTGGAATTGATATCAATATTCATTTAATTTCACTTGTTAGATTTCGTCACGAACTAGCACAAGTTAGAGATAGGGCACTGGAGTACTGTTTCGTCCTATTTTATGACTCTTCAGTGATCCATATCCAGGGTTCAAAGGTGGTAACGTTCAGGTTATGAGATCAAGCTCGTTGACCATCCAGCCAATTCAGTCAGAATTCAATGATACCATAATCTGCATATCAATATCCAGGTGTCTGATGGCTATTTGGCGGATTTCCTGAAGCTTTCCTGGAGTTCAACGTGGGTAGTACTGTATCACGCGTTGGCACAGTTAGAACTCACGATTGTTTGAATTCTGTCCAAAGTGGCTGAATGGTTAACCTAAAGATGCTAGGTTCAATCCCTGATGGAGTGGCGTGTACCTACTAATGAAGAGTCCCAAACTGGGACGAAACGGTAGTCCAGTACTCCCTGGTTTTCAATGACCCCCAAATCCCCTAAAAATATCATAATCCAGATAAACAGTTATGTTTATTATTGATGTAATTGTCTGCTTCAAGCTGTATGGTTTTATTGCGAAGCTTTTACTATCTTCCTAGACAATATACTCAGCTCTGATTTTAAACAAGGACCGAGCATTCAGCATTCTCTGTGAATACAATGCACATCGTGTCTGATCGCTATGCATGTGGTTAGTTGTCTCAGGAGATATCCTCTTACCTGTATCATTTAACTAAGCTAAAAATCTTCTTCATCGTGTTTGTATGATAATCAGCTGACGAGTCCTACCAAAGTTTACAATTCTCGTCATATACTGCCTTTCTTCCCCAAAAACTGTTATCAAACTTTTGATAAGGCCATACAGCTATGACAATACTAGTTGTTATTTGCAGTAACAATGTCAGTGGATACAACAATTCAAAACTGTGACGGTAATCATGAAAATTCCAATGTAGACTTCGTCGCAAACTGACGTCAGTTTGAGAATCCTTTAAAAGCAAGGATTCTCACGATGTCCACACCGAAATTAATCAAACCATTATCAATCTGAAAACCATTGAAATAGCTATAATGTATGAATACGGCAGAAGGTTATTGATGCTTATAAAAACTCCTTCATTAGATTGTATTATTATTCCCTTAGGTTCCTAATGGAACATAGGGCTCCAACAAAACATCTTCATTTTATCCTGTTTTACGCGAACGTCTCTAACTAGCTCTTTGAGTTGTCCGTAGGCTCTCATCTCTTCTTCACACAATGTTCTCTATGTAACCCTCACACTCACGCCTAACTCGCCATTACCCATTCGAGTCCCACACGCGTGCCCTGGGCTGCAGTGTGATGTCACTCAAAGCACATATTGGTTCGTTGCAAGAGTTTCTTATTTCTAACTTCATTTTGTCTATCTCATGTTCAGTGTGGAGCAAAGGCAGCTGTTGATGGAAGCCTTCAGCAACCTATTGAAAATGCTCCCAGTGACGCACATTCCAAGTTTCTTTAACATTTAAAATTATTGTCTTGACATTGATGTTGAAAGTTCGAATCTTGTTTTTTTTTTATGCTTAGTGCAGTAGATTCCCAGACTGCTTTCCAGGTGATGAAGGCCCATCTTGCCTTTCTGACCTAGGATTTGATGTCTTCATCCGTCCTGAGTATCTGTAGTTGAAACAATTTCGCTTTGCCAGATAAGTGAAAAAGATAACCTCCTTGAAATATCTCCCGTTGACAGTGTCTGATGATGTAGAAACCCACAAACATTGATGGTGGTAACTCTCTGAGATAGTCTTTCTTTATAATGGGTGTTGGGGATTGTATGCGAATTGAAAGTTTGATTTTGCGACTGCAAGACTCGAACCAACAGTCTGGGTATTGCTAAGTATGGCGCTCGATCAGCTGATCTACAAAACCAGTGATGATTGCCGTTAGTTCTCGTAGATTAGTTGGTAGAAGAGCGTCGAACTAGTAAGTCAGAGGTGAATGGTTCGAATTCTGCCTCTTCAACCCAAATTTTCATTTCACCTTTATTCCGTCACCACCTATTACACATCCCTAACAGTCTGCCAAACCACCAAGAATATCTTCTACAGAGTTTCACCATCAATTCGGTTAGAATGTTTTTTTTTATCTGTTAAACTCAAGCTGAATAAACATAATGCCTATATTAAATAATAATAATAATAATATTAATCAAACGCTTATTCTGTCTCTTTTTTCTCATCTAACTTTTCAGTCTCTATTAGACAACGGGGAAGTAAACATAGACGAATTAGATAGCAGTAATAATAGTAATTCACTGAAACGCATTAAACGTACTGCCGGCAATTCAGATTGGTTAGATACAGATAATGAGGCGGCAACAAGTCCAGTTAGCCGAGGTCAATCAGATCTTGGCACTGCGAATACAGATGCTCAACGATTAGCTTTAATGATACAAAATCAATTGGATGCAATTAACAAAGAGATTAAAATGATACAGGTAGGCGTTGTTTGTTTCTTTGTTGTTATTGTTGTCTTGTTTGTTTTTATTTATTGAAATTATAATAACGAACTGTTTGTCTGAAACGAAAAATACATATACTTTGTAGTTTGATAATATTAATTATGAATACTGATGATGATTATACTTTCTTATCTTATCTTAAAATATATCATTATTGCTGACTGTCGGCATACCCTTCATCTGCTCTCCATCTTGTGTCCTGCCATAGTCTGTTACGATTGGCTTATTTGTTTCCCCTCCGATTTGGACAGTTATACAGGTGATGGATGCAAGGTCCTATGCTGTCATATGAGAGGTGTGGTACTTAGTTAGCCATTTCGCTTCGGATGTCGTGTTACAATTTCTTGGAAATTATTCCATATTAGTTTGTTTATTAGATGTATCACACAGTGAAACAGTATTATTTACTGGATGACGTTTCGAACAAAATTTATTGTTCATAATCATATTAATTATAATCACACGACTTCGAAACTTGAGTTTTCGAAACGTCATACAGTAAATAATACTGTTTCACTGTGTGATACATCTAATAAACAAACTAATATGGAATTGCTTGGAAATGCTTCTTCCTATTTTTGGTAACAGTATCCGTAACAAGGTTTAAATAATGGTGAAGATTTGTAGCTCAGGTATATGGTTTTTATATAGTTTTGGTCTGTGAAACGAATGCTTTAATTTTGCGTCGGTGGCACAGTGGTTAGGACTCTCTCCAACTATGCACATGGTCTGAGGTTCGATCCCCTGCCGACGCACACCTGATATCTATGGTTGGCCTGCAAAATTTGGACTGCCGATATCCATGCTGAAAATTCCATACTTGTACCAAAAATACAGTGTGGAATCAATCTGTAATCAAAATATAACCATATATATATATATATATATATATATATATATATATATATATATATAACTAATGTCAGCTCATGATGAAATCCTGAAACCAATCAAATCCCTACAAACCAACACTTGAACAACAATGAGATGCTCACTGGAGACTGGCCCTATTCAGGTAGGTAGTTACCTGGATTCCAGTGAAAAGTCGTGACCAGTAGGGAGCCGTGGGTCGGGTGTGAGGACAAATACTCGCCGAAGACATTGGCTAGGGGTTGTGCTACGTCTTGAATTGGCAGAAGTTAGGATTCAAGGGCCATTGGATCGGGTCCCAGTGGCTTAATGGTACGCGAGCTCGCCTTGTAAACGGAAGGTCCTGAGTTCGAATCCCGGTGGGTGCGTACTGATGAAGAGTCCTAAACTAGGACGGAACAGCTGTCCAGTACTCCCAGGTTTTCCAATAGTTCTGTAACTAATCTCAGCTCATGATGAAATCCTGAAATATAAATGTCTTTAGCTCTAACTTTGAACTAAGTTGAGCTGAAGATATTGTCTGGAAGTATGAAGAAAGTTTAACAATTAAACCATCCAGCTCAGAGACCACAACTTCATCAAAAGGTGAACATATATATTTGGAGTCTTAAAGAGTAGCTTTGTATCAACAGAGTCGTCGATAGTTAATAGTTAGAGGTATTATTTTCCATTTTTCAGATAATTGATTTTATTGGATCAGATTGCTTGATCTATTGTGACCTCTGTGGCTTGATTAGTAACTCTTTGGAGGTTAAGTAATGGGTTCTGGTTTCGAGTCTTAGTCGGAAGGACATCAGTCACTGGGGATGCAGATACATCTAGCCGATGAGTTCAAGCATTAGAATGAATTGCGCTTTCTGGATTCCACTGCTGGCCACTAAAAGCCAGGGACATCAGAGTCATTAGTGTTTCACTATAGTTAACTGAGTGTGAGAACTGGTAATGGGTTATATTCACCTTCTTCAAAGGGTATTAGACAATGTTGAGGTTGAAAGTTTTCCGTGAATAAAGATCAGAAAATTCAAATTCGTCATTTACAAATTGTACGGTTTTATGGCGACAATCGACAGTGATTTTCTAATGTATTGAAATCATAATATGTGATGTGATTGATGGCTTGAGTATAGTTCCTAAGTGCCCGTATCAGTCAGTGGTATATACTCTCATGCTATTTTGCATGTTTTATTGCAGATTTTTCAGTTTACGAAGGAAACCACTTTACCCAAGTAGACAGTGAGAATTTTGGTAGTTCATAATGTTTCAGCCCTTTGAATGGGGCCAGTTCAGGTAAACCGTTAGTTGTCTCGGCTCCAGGTAACCGAAGTGACCGTCCGGTGTTTAGATCTGGTCAAGGAGCTTTATTATTCAATAGATGAAGTGATTTATTTATTTGCGGTAGCCTTCACACTAATGTACACTCGTGTACTCTGTTCTGAGCGAGTCAGTTGTTATCAAGTCAGAAAAGTAGTCCATAAAAATGAATTCACTTTTCGAGAATAGCAATATGAACTGCTCGTTTTCTACCCTTGTCCTTCGAAGAATTTTCATGATTTATTCTATTGCATATTATAGGAAGAGAAACAAACTGCTGAACAGTTAGCTGAAGAACTAGAACTCCGCGTTGGTACAAATCGTAATGGAAGTTCTGATGGCCAACTAATGGAAGAATATTATCAACACCAGCATCAACAACAACAACAACAGCAACAACTACAACAACAACGAGGTGGTATTGGTGGTGTTAACGACCCAAGTGGAGCATACTACTACATGAATCAAGATACACGTCTCCATTCGAATAATGTTATGCCTAGCTTGTTACCAAATTTTGGTCCAACTGGTTGGTCCCCACCTCCATCACCGTTAAGCTCACGATCAACACCATTTGGTGGGATATCAAATGATTCATTCAGTGGTAGTTTCAGTAATCCTGCACGTAATACATCCTCTTTGCCTGGTAAAGAAACAGAGAGATCATTGCCTCAATATCTGCCTTCATTAGATCCTTCACGTAATATTCAACACCAACCCCCGCCAGTACAACAGTATTCACAGTCAACTACTGGTAACAGTTTTATGTCACGTAGTAGTCAATTTGAACAACAAAGATCGATGTCAGCTGCTGGACGTCCATTGCATCAGGTAAATGAATGGTCAAGATGACTGCACTATAAAATATCATGTCCTTTATTCTTCATATCTTTCATTGTGTGAATTGAACGTCAGCATTACTCCATTTACTGTTTTGTTAACCAGTAGAATTCTGTAAACTTCTAGCAATCAAAGTAGCCTTGATATAGTTAATTTTATGGAGCCTTGGTTTATTCGGTGAAATTCAGTCATTAAATCAGTAACCTGCTTTCGTATAATACTAGGGAAATGAAGTTCTAACAGAATTCGTCCATCATATGTAATCTCTACTCTTTCAATTCATTCAGCCATTTATTATTAAATATTACGAAAAACCTTATTATGATAGGAATTTATTTATCCCAAGTTTGGCCACAGATTAGTATCAGTTCGAGAGTACTACTGAAAACCAGAAAGTGCCGGACAACTGTCCCATCTTACTAGTTTGGGACTCGTCTGAAGTACCCACCCACCCACTGGGGTTCGAACCCAGGACCTTCTTGTTACAAATCAATTTCGTAGACCATCCAGCCATTGAGGCCTGACTCAATGACCCATCAATTCTAACTTCAACGAATTCGTGAGTTTAACGCGATTGACTACCAGCCAATGTCATCTATGGCGAGTATTTATCTTCACTGCTGATCGAATGGAGCCCACTGGTGACAACTTCTCATTAGAGCTCGAATGGAACTTCGTCCTGAATCCAGTGGCTAGCAAGCATCAGATTAATTTTCAAGACTTAGTTTGCCGCGATATAATTTATTTCATGTTTGACCATGGAATTTATTTCACACAAAGGAATTATTATTATTAGTCATTCTTCGACTTCCAAATGGAAAATAAGACTTCATCTGCACGGTCCGACTCTACTCAGTCCTCTGCTATAACTTTTCCATAACTCTCCACAACCTTTCATTTCCTCGTCACATAATTTCTTCCTTGTCACCCTTAGACGTACGCACACTCATCTCTCCCCATTCCACGCTTCACTCGGGGACTGGGCGTGTGATTTCACTCGATGGTCTCCTCAAAGTGTATGCCCAATCATCCATCTCCACTTCCTTCTGCATATTTGTTAAGCTATAAATTGTTGGCTGGTGACACGCGTCCACCAAGTTTCTAAACTATATTGAAATCAGTGATTTGATGTGTATATTAAAAGTTCTAAACTTGTTCTCTTCTCTAAGTGCTGCGTATCTCCACGAGTATCATCTGTCTGGCTTTGACATACTTGCCTAATTTACTACCTGGTTGTGAGTCCAGAAAATGGGGGAAGATTAGACACGAGAAGGTAGTAACTCTCATCCTGCCCAATAAGAAATCTCCTCATCACCACTGCCACCACTCCTCATTGCTACGAAAAATCCAGAGAACATGAACACAGAAATAAACATTTTTTCAGAAAATAATTAAATCTTTAGCTTATTTACCTACCGGTTAATTATTCATGCAAATTTATTTTTTGTAAAAAAAAAAAGAACCCCCCGATCCTTCTGAGTTGGATTTCACTTCTTTTCCTTGTTGTTTGCATACATTTCATAACTGTTTTGTGTGTTTTATCTCAAAAACAGACAGATTTTCTTTCATCGAGTATTGTATTTAGAAGAAAAAAATAGGGTGTTTTGTTTTACCAGTCTACACGGGTTGGAAAAAGCATTTTTTTATCGACCAGTTGACGAGTCGCGCGCGCGAGAGAGAGAGAGACAAGATGACATTTTGATGTGTCTAAATATAACCAGAGAGAGAGAGACTTAGAGAGTTAGCATGACGCAAGTCTGTATTAAGTGGAGGAAATATGAAAAGATGGTAAAGTTCTCGGCTCTATCTGTGATATAATATCGAATAAAATGGTGTTTTTCAACAACGATGAAAAATGCCTTTTGTTAAATGTGAGAGAAAAAACAACGGAAAGAAAAGAAAAGTATTGACTAGGGATTCCTGATAATAATAATAATACGAATAGTGGTAGTAGCAGTAATAGTTGGCTGATGAAATGAAGTGTGAAATTGACGTCATCATCAGGTTAAATAGTGTCAATTGAAGACACACACAGACACGTGCGTGCGTGTGCCTTCAAGACACAGAGAGATAGTAAAAGGTATGATTAATTTATCATCACCTGAAAACCAGACACCAAGGTCACAAGATTGCAAAATAGGTAGCAGTAGAGACAGTGTGCACGTTTACAACAGAGGTGATGACCAAGGCAAACATGTTAACTGGTCTAGTCCCTAAGTGTGTATGTGTGTGTGTGTTTATGTATATGTGTTTATGGTGACTGGAGCCTATGAATCATGTAACACAACATTCTTTAACACTTTTGTGTGTACTCTCCTTTTGATGTTAAATGTGTTTTTATATTAGCATGATTCAGTTGACAAGCATAACAATTAACAATTATCAAAGAATTGAAAGTGCGTCGGTAGTAAAGCGGTTAGGACGCTCGCCAACCATGCACATGGTAAAGAGGAAAGGTTGGGCATGAGGTTAGTAACTCCATTCTGTAAACACAAACACTGCTACAGAAACTTCAAGCCACTAGCTTGAAGTCCTATGTTCCACTGGGGAACGTGAAGGAAAAAAAAAGAAAAGTTAATACTTGTCAAGTATTGGTTTTGTAGGGATTTTGTTTAATTAGTTAGAGGATTCCATCATGAGCTAACATCAGTTAGAGAACCATTTGAAAACCCGTAAGGAGTACTGGACTGTTGTATCATCCTAGTCTGGGACTCTTCCTTAGTACGCATCCATCATGCAGGGTTTGGTTACAAGGCGAACTCGTAGACCAGGTCATAGAAGCTTAATGGTGTACGAGTTCGCCTTGTAACCAGAGTGCTCTAGGTTCGTACTGTTGAAGAGTTCAAAACTAGGATGAAACAGCTGTCCAGTACTGCCTACAGGTTTTTCAATGGTTCTACATATATATATATATATATATATATATATCATTGAGAGAGGTAATACGGATAAACAAATGAACTACATTGAATCAGTCATATAAAACAACAGGTGTGAATGTTTTTCTCAGTTTTTCATATTAAAACAGACAGGGGGAAGGGAGAGAGTATGAGGAATCAAAATTGAGATATAAAATGCCAGACGGTTTAATTACATCACTTAAATATGCAATTAGTTATCGGAGAATGAAACTGTGAATATATCAAGAATTGTTCAGCTGCATAATAATAATGATAATAACAGTAATAATTTGAAGACGAGTTAATATAATGACACTGATAAAAGATAGTTTCAAATTAATCAGAAATGATATTAAGGGGTAGAATAAAATATAGAATAGTATATTAATAATAATAATAACAGTTAATAAGTAAAACATATTATCATGATAGATTGAGAGTGACCACCATTTCCTGCTGTTCACAGAAACCTGATTTTTAAACTCTAATTGCACAGGCCTCCGCAAATGCTAGCATCTTCCTTTTTGTTTGTCTGCTGACAACAGTGAATGATTTGACAACGTCATTATCATGTCCATAGTCTACAAGATGCTTCGTTATTGAACTATTGGACACTTTGACTTCAGCCGTTTTCAACCACTTCGGCAAATGCTCCATCATGCTCGGTCTCAGATTGACATGTCGGCTTCTTGTGCATATGCTTCGACGATGTCTGAGCATGTAATCAAAAGTTAATTAGTGACCCAATTGGTCTAGTGGATTACGCTTTGATATTCGAAACTATGGGCACTGCGTTCGAGCTTCAGTGGGAACATGATCACTCACTGGGGAATGCAGGTACTTCCAGATGACGAGCCCCAATAGGACGAAATGCGCATCCTGGTGGGTTCCACTGCTAGTCGCCATCCACCAATTAATCTATGCAATTGCTTCCACAAACACACTCAATCTGATATACTCAGTTTAAAGTGTCGAATATTGGCGACTGGATTGTTGAAGTAGCACCCAGGTGAAGCGGGTACTTACTGATCCTGCAACCCTATTCTCCAGCAGTAAAACTTTCCCCCTCAGACTTATTAAGATAATCTGAACGATTTATGCTATGAGTATAACTCTAAATGATCTTGGTATATCGATCTGATATCCTGTATATCAATCAGTCAGGTGCTGAGTTATAGAGCTGTTAAACGAAGCTCAACCTCTTCGACGTAAACTCTTCAGGTTGAGATTGAAATTACTTCATGAAACTGCTCTGGTTATTCATTTAAAAATTGTTAATTAATAATTTCCCTGAACCTCCTACACAATGAACCTATCCTAGCAACTGATGAATTGAATAGACTTCTCTTGCCTTGGAATTTAACAGTGTGATGAATGGTATTTAGAAGCTTCAGATAAAGATCTAAATCTATGGTAAACTTTGAATCACTGACTATATTCTTACTTATCTACTCAGAAATTTTATTAACTTTTGATAATAGAACACAAATAAGACCCACTGCGTTTTCCCCTCCAGTTTGTTTTCTTCTATACTTCATCAAACTTCTCTCTTATTAGTCATTGTCAAGCAAGTCCTGTTTTCAGATAACCTTTTTCATTTAAAACAATTAGTCCCTTTTACAAATTTTGATAGCGTTATTAGAAGACGGAGACTATCTGAAAAATGTGATGTATTAGCGCTATACATTTCGAACAATCTGATCACACATTTACTTGTCAAGTCAATATATGTATATATATATATATATAGAAAGGTTAAATTAAACAAAGAGAAAACGGAATTAAGAATAATTAACACAAACGTTTGGTAATCTAATCAAATAAGGATTACCAAGGTAGGTTAAGAGTAATGACAAACTTAAGCCCCCCCCCGCTTGTGTATTCAAAAACAGTTTGTCATTACTCTTAACCTACCTTGGTAATCCTTATTTGATTGGATTACCAAACGTTTGTGTTAATTATTCTTAATTCCGTTTTCTCTCACTTTGTTTAATTTAACCTTTCTATATATATATATATATATATATATATATATATATATATATATATATATATATATATATATTGACAAGTAAATGTGTGATCAGATTGTTCGAAATGTATAGCGCTAATACATCACATTTTTTCAGATAGTCTCCGTCTTCTAATAACGCTATCAAAACCTTTTCATGTTAGAACAGGATGTGATAAGCAGACATATTTCTAAATTTTAAGAAACAAATTTAGAAACTTTTTCAGACTGTCGTTGTTTCCTTCCAAATTAAAAGACATTCGGATAGTTGTAATCTGTCTTCAAAAATGCATAAAAAACCTCTGGATAAGTTTCTGTTAATATCCCCAATATGGAGTTCGGAATTGATTTTGTCACAAACTAGCACAAAATCAGAAGATCACTAAATAATTACAAGGTACCGGGGAGTTGTTTCGCTCTGATTTGATACTCTTCATCAGCACTCTTTGATGAATTCACAAGGGAGTGAATGTTAAATCATTTAGTTAAAAAGTAAAACAAGTTTACAATGCAGTCACTGAGCCGGAATTCACATACTGGAATGTAATATGCGTACTGCATAACTTGACTGTTCAACGTTCAGTGTGTTGTAGAATCATATGTGTATGCATTGTTGAGGCCGTTAGTTGTAAGTTAGGATGAAATGGATGTTCAGTGTATGTTGGTCTTCAACGTTTTTAAATTATGGATTTAGTAGGTATTTGGATTAAATCCAATATAGATATCGTCATGAGCCAACATCATTTAGATGAGCATTGAAAACTATGGTATACTGGGCAGTTGTTGCGCTCTAGTTTAAGACTCTTCAGGAGTGCACACTTACAACCCCATTAGGGATCCAACCCGAGACCTTCAGATTACGCTATCAGCTTACTGACCATTCCGCCACTGGGACGGAATCCGATGACCGACACATAAATTGTAAATTCGGTCAGTCTGTGAATCTTAGCACCACCACCTGCCAGTGTCATCCGCAAATACATGTCTTTATATCTGACCTGGTGGACTCCATTGCTGATGACTTCTGACTAGAATTCCAGTCCGCTGACCATTCAGCCACTGGGATAGAGTTCAGTGACCGGTCCATGAATTCTAAATTCTTTCGGTTAACGAATTTTATCACCACCAACTGCCGATGTCATCCGCAAGTACTTGTCCTCATATTCGACCTGATTTACTCAACTGATGATGACTTCTGACTAGAATTCCAGGCAACTTCCTCCTGTAGTCAGCCACTAGTCAGCATCAGATTCATTCTCAAGTGTTAGTTTGTAGGGATTTAATTAGTTTCAATTCTGATCATGGATTAATATCAATTAGTAGTGGACCAGTGATGGCTGGTTGGGTTGTGGGCGCGTACTGGTGTAACAACAGAAGACAAGGGCCAGGCAACAGATAGTTTATTAAGGAAATCAACACTTATTTATATATTTTCATGTACATTATTATAGCTTATTCCAGCAAACAAACACTCTTCTGATTGGTTGCTTCTCACAGAAAGTTGACCTTGCATCTCTTTGTGACCGTTTCTTGAATGTCAGATCATCTGTATGTTAACTGTATCTGCCTATGCAAAGTCTGCTGTGATTGGTTATTGAATCAGTCTTGCTCATATTTTCTCACGACCAATATTGGGGACATAAACATTGACGTAAATTAACGTCTACCAATCGACTAGTAGCCTGTTCTCACCACATTGGGATTAGATAGCTGTCTAATACTCCTTGATTCTCACTAGTCCTCTAACTGATATCCATTCGTAGACAAACGTCAAATGATCCAATCCCTACAAACCGACACTTGAAAAATTAATGGCCTAATGTCAAATTCTAACTTTTGAAAATGATGTATAGTTCGAGTTTAATGAATCAATAAATAAAAGGGTTCATATGAAAGAATTTTAACACTTTGATATTAACATTTGAAAAAAACTTAACTATCGTGTGTGCGCGTGTGTGTTTATGTGTGGGTTTTTTTAATTGACCCGTGTCAAACAACATCTCTTTTAAGCTCTTTCTAACCTCACACAGTTTACCATTGGATGGAGTATAAATGATGCTGTGTAATTGTTCATTTATTGTTGTTGTAATATCACATATGTGTTATTTGTTGTATTCACAACGTATTATCATATTGTTGTAACATTAACCTCATTGTTGTCTCTAACCTTGTCAATTCCTTTCCTTCCCCCCTGTTTTTCATCCGAAATCTAATCTCTTCCCTGCATCGAATATGCATATACATATGCAATATTATATATGTCTGTAAGTCTATGGGTATGAATGGTAGTTTTGTCTCAACACCACATCTTAATCCTCAATCCTCATCATCATCCTCTTCATCACCGTCTGTTGTTGTCACACAGAGTTCAAACAATAAATCTACAATTTCAGCAGCTAGTATAAGTACAACATCAATTACTACTAATGGGGGAGGGCCTACTAGAAGTGTAACCTTAGCTGATGCTATTGCTGGTCTTGAACTACTGGATCATATGCGTAAGGAACGTAGCGCCCAACAACAACAGCAGCAACAACAGTACCAAAAGAATAACAAATTTGCTTCATGTGTTATCACTGAAAATCCCTATGAATTTGGACCTGATGAATATTCAACAGTGTCTACTTTAGAATTGAGTCGTGTTAGCTCATCCTCTGAAACTGTTATCTCTGAAACGAATACAAAGTCACAGCAACAACAACAACAACAGAAACTTCAACCTACTGATGAATCCCAACGATTGCGAAAATTAAGTAAAGACAATAACAACAACAACAATAAATTTGTTGTAAGAAATACAGAGTCGAATCATTCAAATGTAACAACATCGAAGGTATATTTATGTGTATATATACGCGTGCGTATGCCTCTAGTTGAAGCTTGCAAATTAGTTGTGTTTTCTTTTTCACACTGGCTGTATTAAGCTGTCTTTTGCTTGCTTATGCGCTTACAAATAAAAAATTGGATTTGCTTGTTACACTTATAAGTTGATTTATTCTACACTGCTTGTTCATTTGCTTGCCGATTTTTTTTTATCGTGGTTTAGTTTGGGTCATTATTTCTTTTTGTTGTTGTTGTTGCTGTTGTTTTTTTGCGTGTGTATTAACTCTGAGTCACTCTGAGCAAATGAGGCCACTGGGAAGATGAAACTCTAATTGCTACTGATACGACTAAAACACCGTTGATTAAGATTGTCACTTAAGTGAAACAGTCGTCTTCTTCTTGAAAGAGAGAGAGGGGGAGAGTCTGTAACCGGATTACAGGTTCCACCATGAACTGACATCAGTTAGAGAACAATTGGAATACCAACAGGGTGTACTGGGCAACTGTATCGTCCACCTAGTTTGGAACCCTTCAGTAGTACGCGACCGTCAGGGTCCGAATCCACGACCCTCCGGTTAAAAGACAAGCTCGCAGACCATTCAGTCATTGAGATCGAACTTAATGGCCAGTCCATGAATTCCAACTTCTGACAATCTTCTAAATGATGTCATTTTGTGGTCAAACCTGTAACTGATCACATCCTTGCAAACCAACACTTATTAGTTAGATAATGACCTTTACAAAGTAAACTGACCTTTGGTATCAGATGGTTGGAGGCAATTGGCTACAGGAAGCCTTAGTTGACCTAGGTTTCGTGCTAGTTGGCACTCATCAGCAAGGCGTATCTGCAACCTTGATTGAACTCATGTTCCTTCTGTGATTCGAACCCGCGTCACCCAGTTGGCGCTGCAGTCAGAGACGTTAGCACTGAGCTATTCGGGTTCGTGATTGACCTCCTGTAGGATTGTAGTGGGTATTTTGATTAGACACTAGTAGCTAGTGTGACATGTCCAGTCTTTTCTTTGGTGTAGACTGAATTCTATCATCAGGGACATGACTTCAATCAAGGTTGTAGATATGCCTTACCGATGAGTGTCAACTAGCACGAAACCTAGGTCAACCAAGGCTTCCTGCCGATTGCCTCCTACCATTTAATACCAACATCTCACAGTGCACCGTAATGGCGAGCCACCTAGCATGGTGGCCACATTGCAAGCTTGACTGATAGAATTCAGTCTGCACCGAGGATAGGACTAGACACATTACACCACTTACTGACTAGTGTGCAATCCAAAAAAATTAAATAAATAAACTGACCTTTTCTTGATAGCGTTTATGGTGGGCTAAAATCTTGTTTTTAAAATGAAACTTAGTAGATTTTCTTTACTGATTGTATCTCAATATACATTGTAGCTGAACTTTTAGTAAATAGCCAATATATTTATTTTTATGATCACATTGATGAAATAATGACACCTTTGTTACAGAAGGGAATATTTTATGGCTGCTGCTGCTGGAGCTATAACTTATTGATTTGTTTGATTCCATGACAAATACAAACTCATTATTTATATTATGACTAAAAGTGTTGGTTTTTTTTTTCACGAGGTGACATCAATTAAAGACAGGAGGTCAATGATGGTCAATTGTTGGTTATATGCTTATCAACGAGAATGGATGACTGACTGAATCTCAACATAGAACTTTCCATAGAAGTTCAACAGTTCAACTTTCCACACTCCATTTCCCACACAAAATAACAAAAAAGAGAGAAGAAAAGAGATACAAAAAAAACTACTATAAGCAGAAATATGAGGGAGAATGAATAGAATACATGGAAAAAAATAAGGGTTTAGTGAATATAAGAGATCACAAATATTGAATGCATCTTCGCTAGTGAGGACAGTTTTCAGGCATATCATCAACTATGTCCCTAGCCATTGGTTGTTACTATATTGAGGCCCTAACCAAACAGTCTACACCTCTATACATGATTGGCTCAAACTAATTGTTGAGCTTTTCATGGATTGTTCACACGCTTTGGTCTGATCACAACTAGTTTATGTTTCCCAACCTGATCCTATATCAGCTAACAGTGACCGTCAAGGAAGATGATGGCTAGTCAGTGTGTTAACACACATTCTAATCACCTCAATCTATGTAGCTTCACGATCTCATCTATTGACTTTCCCTCTTTAACTAACACTCGACTCCGAACTACTCACACTATTTTACTACCTAACTAGGGAAATAGAAAGCAGAAAGAAAATGGATAGATTTATTTTTTCATAGGTGTCATCTTTTGATCTGTAAAACTCAAATCCTAATGAGTGGTTGTCATGTCAATCGCCAATCAATCATGTGACGTATAAAATAAATAAACAACAGGTTGCTTGTTGCATTTCTGTCTTCCTCTTTGGGATTATTTTCATTCCCTGTTGTAATTCTGCCAGGATAAAAATATATAAATATGATTATATACAAAAAACCAAAACAAAATAAAACTAGAAACTGATCGATTTTAGTGTCATTATAATTTTATATCAATGATTTATCTGAAATTGCCTTTCTTTTTTGATAATCATTTATATCTAAGTAACAGATAAGAGCCTTGCTTGTTTACTCGTTCGTTCGTGTGCGTTTATTTCTCAAAAGACGAGTTTCAAAACATCAGTTTATCTTTTCTGACACAAATAACTAAGGTGTACTGGACAGTTGTTTTCCTCTTGTTTGGGACTCTTCATCAGTACGCACCCATGATCTCACAGCTAAGGGATAGCACCCAAGGTCATCCAGTTAAAAGGTGTACCATTGGGTCGCTGTGACGAAATCCAATGGCCTATCACAATCTTAAATTCTGCCAACTCGTGATTATAGCAAAAATATTCATTCAAACATCTATAAAACACAAATTAATTGAGCAAAGAATATCCTTTTCGATAAATTCCTCTTCTGGCTCTACAATTATGTGCATATGTTTAAATACATAGAATATTCTACAATAGTCGTCAATAACAATATTAGTGTTTTTTAAATAATATCGATTTGTAAAGTATGATCAATGCAATTACAGTTCAATAAAGATACTTAAATTATAATAATAATAAAGATATAATAGCGAATAGAATATCAACTAAAATTAGGGAAATTCCACAAAAACTGAGGATCATTCAAACCTGGATGGCCAAGGTAATGATAATGTCTACACTAACTTCTTTTGGATGCATAAATTAGGCTTGTTAATATGGATCCCCACAGCTTCAGCAATATTTAGTAGTCGAAATCTTAAGGGAAAATTGAGATTTGTAGGCATGCGGTAAGTGACCCTGAAAGCACGGTTAACATCAATCAATCTTGTATTCTGTATCCACAAGATGAGATAGAATAGCGCATCTTCCAACCAATGTCGTTGGTGAGCATTTGTCTTCACATTCTCCTACTTGGTTGTCCCTCAAGGCAATTTCATCCTGTAGCCATTCACTAGTGAGCACTAGAATAATTTTCAAGTGTTGGTTCTCAGAGACTCGACTGATCAAGCACTGACTTCCTTTAGAGAACCATTGAGAACCAGGGACTGCTGATCAGTGACGTTCGCCAAATTGTGTGTGAAGACAAACACTCATTGATAACATTGGCTGGCGGTTGCACTACAGATTACAAATTGTCAGAAGTTAAAATTTATGTGCCGTAGGATTCCCCACCCCCCCTCAGTGACTGAAGGTCCTGAAATCGATAGCCATAAGTAGGGTCATGGGTATTTTACTGTTGAAGTGTCTCAAAGTAGAACGAAACAACTGTACTCTGTGACTTTCAACGGTTTCTCTAATTGAAGTCAGTTCTTCATCAGTCTTGAAATGAATATCATTCCAGTTAGTTCATAACCAACTTGTATGATTATAAACTTCAGTCGGCTACAACCTCGATGACATGACTTAATTCTCGTCCAACTAAATTAAGAGAATAACGACATTGTCTTCTCTTTCAACCTCTTTCTCTCCCTATCTTGTGGCTATAGCTAACACTGTAGAAAATATTGTTACTTTCTCTGATCAATGAATGACAGATGATCCCTTTCTTGTTGAAAAGATAGGGACAGAGAGAAAGGGATGGAGGGAAAACACTTAATATTTGAAAAGCGGATTTGTTGTTTTATATTTTCACAGTCATCCTCTTGTTTTCCCCCTACTTTTAGGGACGACAAAAATATATATACATAAATATACAAACACTTTGGGTTTTTTTACTTCGAATTTTTGTTTAGTTTCTTTCGTTTTAGTAGTTTTTTTTTAAATGTTTTGTCATTTTTGCATATATTTCTGTCGAGTCTTCGATTGTTTCTTATCTTCATCGTTCAATTATCTTCTTCTTGAAGTCTTTTATTTTTCTTCTTCTTTATTTGACCTCTGGTTGTGGTTTCTGAGGTCAGCTTAGTAGTGTAGGCGTGTTTATGGAAATCATTCAAATCTTGATGCAGATATATCATATTTCTTTGAAGCGATGTTATCTTTGACTTTGTTCTTTTCTGTATGTTTCAGTTGTTTTCATAAATTTTTTAAAAAGAAAGAAGGGGAAAACAGTTAACTCTATGAAGTATAATAAGTGACATTTGGCTGATTGCTTTTCAGTTGAAAGAAAAGATCATGTATAATGAAGTCTACGTTAACTTATTCAGATTAGTATTTCGAATCTCCCGTTGATTTGATGTGTATTAGGCCTAAATCATCAATCTTCAGTGGCATATTGACCTGTTATTAACTTTGCTTTGGCAATGCTTTAAGGTTAATGCTACCTTATGTCATGGGTTGTATTTAACAGGGGAATCCAGGAGGTGTTTTTCGTCCTTTCTGTGGCTCGTCAACTGGATGCACCTACGTTCACAATGAGTGATGGTGTTCCCATTAAGGTTAAGCCTTGCACTATCATTTCAAACATCAGAGCGTTGTCCACCTAGTCATAGGACTCTCTTCTTGTCCAGTTGATACCAAATGTTGCTTATTGAAATTATTATTTTGAATTTCTCGTTGATTGGGAGTGGGGTGGGATTTGTGCATCCAGTGGATGATTCTCAAATAGGACTAAACGCGAGTTCTTTGGATTCCACTTCAAGATATCATCATTCGTGTGGATGACTGGCTTGCACATCGGTTATACTATTATATTTGGATGAAATAGTTTTGTATAGTTAACAATTTTATGTTGATAATTGAAGAATATCTAGGAAGCAAAAACGCCAGTATGAAGTGATAGGATTCATCGGCTTAAGCACTTGGCTTTCTTTAAGTTAATGCCTACGGATTCGACCATAGCTGCACGTACTTCAGTCTTGTGGACAACAGTACTTACACAATGATTGTGACTTATACCCGGGTACACTAGAAATCTCTTTCGGGTAATTCAGTACAAACTATCAAACTATGTATTATTAATATCCTCTTGGGTTCTGGGTAGAATACATAAGGGTTTAACAGCACATCTCCAGTTCGTCATTTTCTCTGTAGTCATTTTCAAGCTGGCTCCACGATTGACCGTAAGCCCTGATCTCCGTCGTACATGATCTCCTGCATGTCATGCTTGGATGCCCAACTCGTCGTTTTTCCATCCAAGCTCCACTTGAGGGCGTGGCTGGCTAGTGACGTCATTCAACAGTTCCCTCAGTCTTTATGCAGTCCATCTCCATTTCCCTCTAAGTATTTGTTGGGTGATAGGTTCTTGGTCGGTTCGTCACCAGAGTTCTTTGTTGCTTATTTTTTCTGGTCAACCATCCAATCCTCAGTATTAAACAGAGGCAGCTTTTGATGAAAGTCTGAAACAGGCCTGTTAGAAATGCTGTTCGTGACACGCCTAGTCTGTGAACCATATAGTGATGCAATTTCATTCAACTTAACTTGCATAAACTGAACGGGAAAAAGTGAAAAACGGTGCATACTACTGATTGGTGTGGATAGTTTCCAACTACTGAGTTATTCCTATGCGTTCCGAATGGGGGCTGCTAGCCTGAGCTTTAAGGTTTCAGTAGCAGTGACGTTGTGTTGTTTTTACGTGGTGGCGGTGGGAGGGGGTTCGGTAGCTTCACTCCCAACTGCTTGCCTCTTGCAGGCTTACAACTGGCTAGTAAACTAGGTGAGGTTTAGAAATGCGTCGGCCGGGAATCGAACCCTGAACCTCGTGAGGTGGTTGAGGGACATTCTGCCATTGAACCACTGACTCACCTTAATTTGTAAATAAATTAGTAATTGGTTGTGATTGATCGTGTGAGGGCTGAAATACTGTGCGCAGACGGAAGCAGGCGGTTGTTTTAAGGGACCACCTCCCGAGACTTTGACTTGGAGTCTAATCCACAAGGCAACGGAGCAGCGTCACCAGTTACGTTCCCATGGTTGCCAGTGACCAATACTGGTTCATACGCTATTTGATCCGATTGGATTCTCGAGCCCAGCCAATTTACCTTGTTGGTTTACTGCGGTTATTCAAGCCCGATCACCATAACAAGGTAGCAGTTGTTGGCCAAGAAATAGATGAGTAAAATAAAGTTGAATTATCACTGTAAGTATCATTATTTGACATTTTAGCTAATGAAATGGATTTCTGGTTTAAACCTTACTTCATCTTGTACTAACCTTAATAAATGCAGTAGTATAGTGTACATGCTGCCATATAGTGAACATAGTAACCACGTTTACACTGTTAAGTATGTAATGCATGTCTGATATGAAGTAAATATTGATTATTTAACTCTATTACAGTCTGATTAATGTGTTTTAGCACCTAAGGTTTTAATCCACTCACATTCACTCACTATCTGGCTTGCACATATATTAAATATACATGTATACATACTGACATACATTTATACAGTTGGGTGTTTATCAACCAACCAAGTTTCGATATGTCGGCTTAGATAAAAAATAATTTGGTTGGTTCGGTTTTTTTATTTTCTTGTTTTTCTCCAGTTTTTTTTGTCTGGTTGCATATTTGCATGTCTTATTTTCTTCTTTTTATTTACTTTTTGATTGTGTGATGTTTTTGTTTACTTTTAGTTGTTTTGGTGTACTACTTTTGATTTTAAATACATGCAAGAGGCTATCAATCTTATAAACAGCTAACAACTGATGTATAAGTGTGCCTGAATATAACTAAATATCGTAAAAACTTTCTCTATCAATGTGAACACATACCGCTACAGAGATTTGGACCAATTTCGCCCCACATGATATTCCTAGGCGACACCAATAAAACCTAAAAAAAGCTTTAGAAGACTCCTTGGTGCAAACTTTATGACTCGTTACCAGTATAAAAGGTACTATTCAATGTGAGATTGAACCGAATGTGATCAGACTTCACAATGAGCACTTTACTGTTCTGCTACTGAGTCTGGATCCGACTGTTTATGTTTTCTCGCTGCATGAATGATAAGAAGCTTTCAGTGAGGTCTGGTAGTCTTGAGTTTGCTCCCCGCCACCCCAATAGGGATGCAGTCGCACACCCACCGAACAGTTGGCTTTTAGAATGAAACAGATATCCGGAGCTAATGCCGACTTGTGACACAAACTACCATGAAATCAATTAATTCCTGAAAAGTCTTCCAGTTGTACAACATTTCCTTCATCATATTACACATTTCTTTTATGGAAATGTATTTACTGATAGTGAATTCGCCCATGTCTTGGAGCTATCTCAAGTTCAAGCTTTTTACCTTCAAAGTGATTTTATCGTTTTCTACTGTTGTGGCTACCAGTATTCTCTGTAGTGAATGATTTCAATGTCATTTGAGCAACATTTTTGTACTGAGTGCAAGTTCATTGTGATAAAACATTACTCTATAGCTGTTTCGTCCTAGTCTGGGACTGTACTACGCACCCATGAATTCGCCAGGGATTGAACCGTTGAACATCAAGTTAGGAAGCTAACCAGAGTGACTTTTGGTGGCTGCATCGTCAACCTGTACTCAATCTTAAACTACGACCAAGAAAGAGCATTTGGATGCAGCAATATCTGTAAGATATCAAGGTAACTATTGTGAAAAGAAACAGGAAGTATCTATTCAACCTCTTTTCTAATGGAAATTTAGAAACTTGGTACTCCAAAATGTGTATCCATTCTATTTTTGAACTTCACTTTAACTCTTAAGCCCGTAATAATAATTTCTGAACAAACCAAAAAGACAGCAAAGAAAATAAAAAATTTTATAACTCACCATTATTATTTCCATTCACAGCTGAAGCTGATTGTTGTTGACGTTGTTGTTGAACTGCTGCAGCAGCAGCAACTCCAGCCAAAGCTGCAGCTAATTGTTCTCTGAGAGCTGCACGATCAGCTGCAGATGATCGAACTTCTTCTTCTAGTTGAGCACCACGTTCCAAGGCTGTACGAAGACGTTCTCTTACACGTTCATCCAATGCTTTATGATGTTCAAATAGAGATTTTAATGCTTTTAACACTTCAACTTCAGAGCTAACACCACCAGGACTATTTACTTGACGTTTAACAACTGTCATTCTTAGTGAACGTTCATGTCTAGCGACTAAACATTCTAAATGCTCTAAAAGAAGCTGAAAAGCATGAGAAAAAAACAACAATGAATATAGTTGATTACATCTTATAATTAACTAAATATTGTTATCGTTAGAAATTAGAACAAGTACATATCACAGGTTTCTACATATGTACAACACAAAAAATCAACATTGAGTAAACAAATAATGGAGTCAAAGAGTTATACGATTATGAATTTGTATTTTGCAAATGGCTTTTTCAGGTCTTTTCCACTCTTGTATACTGTGCAGGCGGGAATACTGGACAGCTGTTTTTTTCCTAGTTCGGCACTTTTCATAAGTACGCACCCATGACCCCACAACCAGGGAATGAACGCAGAACCTTCCAGCTACGAGGTGAACTTGTCGAACATTCAGTCACTGGGACAGAATCCAGTGGCCCATGAACTCTAACTATTGTCGATATGCGATTCTTATGATCACAGACTTTCAATGTTATTGGTGAATATTTGTCCTCACACCCGACATGGTTGACCCCCAACCCCCGACTAGTTACTAATTTTTAGTAGAACTCCATGGAACTTCATTCTGTAGTTAACCAGTAATGAGTTTTTAGTGGAGAAGATGTATTCCATGGAAGAAAATACTAGTAATTCCAGACAGTGGTAACCTTAACAAAGCTTAGAAATATGCAGAAGATATAGTATGTATACCAAAAGAACTTAGTCCATTGGTTGTAGCTCCCATTTCTTCCCTATTTTGGCCTACATAGTTGTGGCTAGGTATCATTAGGTAGTAGGTGGTAGGGGAGTAAGTGAGTTTCTGATCAATCAAGTTTTATTAGCTGTTGACAAGAACAAACCTCTCAAACATTGGCAATCCATTATGCTAATAGGAATAGAGAGTTTAAAGCTGTAGCTGGCAGGGCTCACAAATGAACAGGACGCCAACGAGTAGAGCCTTCTAATCCCAGGGTCATAAGAAAAAAAAGCTGGTTTGCGTTTTTAACATTCCATTTTTTCTTCCTTCGTTTTAAAACATGCACAATGAGTTTTTTAAGAAAATATTTAAGTCAACATTTTAAATTATTCATCTACTGCAGACAATAGCCTGAAGTTAGATCAACTAAAACTGATAAATAATAACGAAAGATGGGTAAAAAAGAGAGAAGCTGTCAAAACGTTTGATCATAAAAAAAGATTACGTAAAAGCACTCGCGTTTTCTAAGTGGTGTTTAAAAGCAAAGAAAAAAACAAAAGGAAGTGAAAGGAGAAAAGTCAAAAATAAAGGAAAATATTGGAAATTCTGTCGTAGTAACTTTATTGGAATATGAATTGATCAATAAGGCATTGCTGTTACTTGACTGACTACGTTCGTTTTAAGACGGGCAAATTTCAAATTTCATCATGATGCGCATGAAATCAGCTAGAGAATCAGTAACAACCAAATATCTCTTACTAGTTTGCGTCTATTCAATAATACGACCCCACGAATCGATTTTGTATCGTAGATTTATAGGATAAGCATGTTACTGTTTACTTATTAGATTTGAATGAAATAACTCATGATCGCCAATGATTGCTTGATTGCCATACATCGCCAATCTTCATTTAATGACAGCAATATTACGTTTTGTCCCCTGATCCAGGGTTGTGGTTGCACACACTGCTGAACAGTTCTAAAGCTGGACAAAGCAGCAGTCTGTTGCCACTTATTTTTTTCATCTCACAGACAGAAACAAAAAATCAGCATTAAGTTAAGACGTGACTCAATACTTACCTGAAAATGACAATAGAAATAGTTGTTAACTTACATCCCAAATGGAATGCAGAGCTCAAAGGTCTTGAATTTTTAATGGTGATTATTTCTGTTAGTGCGTGGGGTCGCTAACTTTACACTCTAACTTTCCTTTTTTTCTGGACTTACTATTAGCTGGTAGACTAGATGAGCTTTAAGAGTGTGTCGGCCAGGAATCGAAACTGAACCTCCCTCGTGAATGGCGAGAATTCTGCTATAGTTTATTAACTGGGGTTAACTGTAGAATGATTACAGACCCAATGATTCTATAAGCTATACAAACAAGGCTAATTCCTAAAAACAAAAGAAATTTTCTTCATTTTGAAGAAATTGAACAATCTTCGACTAAGATTAACCTGAGAGAAGCGCCTCTGGTTCCTACATCTCAACAGAGATTTTAGCTTATTTAGCTTCAGACCCTAACTCGAGGTTCTTAAATATCCTTGAGAATAGTTGATGAAAGCCAAATTCCCTTCCTGGTATGTAGTTATTAACATCTTTCCCAACGTATGCGAGAGTCTGATGTCCTTTCCAATTGCCAACTCAGGCTGAGAGTAAGATAGGTGGGGGAAGAGTAACTGGGGGATCAGTTGAACTGTTTTTCACAATGCGGTACCCATAATTCTAGTCGCCTTCATTTGTATTGAACTTTTAACTAGTTCTCCTACATTTTATTGTCGCAAGTAGCTAATACTTTTTCTTAATCTTTGATAAGCCTGAAACCTGGTAGAGTGATACCACCTATCATAATTGCTTTCTTTATCTTTTCGCCTTGTTCTTCCTACTACATCTTATGATGATTGCGTGCATTCAAGATACCTTCATATTTCGTGGTACTCACAGTCCGTGGAAACCATTTCTTCAAAAGGAATTATATTTTCGTGTCTCACTAAATGTCTGGCCACTTAGTGTTTAAATATAATCTTGGCTATCCCAATTATATCGAGTTACGCTTCAGAAGTCCTTGCGTCTGTTATACACTTGAATCCACTGAGACCAGTGCATAATCGTTATCAAGCTGACAAAACCAGTAAATTGTGAGTCTTGATGAAATTATTGTTTCTGTGTATCCCATAGATTTACTTTGTAAGACTGAAATACTCGGTTGCTATTGTCATATTGGCTCCTGATACGAATGTTTTCACTATGAATTAAGGTTGGCATACTGTTTCTGTCACACGCTGACATTTGGAACGATGTGTTCTGAGTTCTAGTCTCACTGGGAACACCACCGCTCCGAATGATGAGTCCCAGTAGGAACAAAATGCGCAGTCTGGATTCCATTGCAACAGTAACCACCATCAACCAAATAAAGTACAAACAAATTATAGTTTCAAGAGTTAACTTGTAGGGATTTGATTTGTTTCGAGCTTGACCACGGACTGATATCAGTAAGAGAACTATTGAAAATCAGCAGAGACTACTGGACATCTGTTTCGTCCTACTAGTTTGGGATTCATCGGCAGCATTCACCCACCCGGGTTCGAACCCAGGACCTTCTGGTTATAAAGCAAGCTAAAATCACCAACTGGCAGGAGTTAGAATCCATGGGTCAGTGGCTGAATGCTCTACGAGCTCGCTTTGTAAACGGAATGTACTGGGTTCGAAACCTAACGGTACCGGGGGTACTACCGATGAGTCTCAAGCTAGGACAAAACAGCTGTCCAGTATCCCTAACTCGGTTTTCCAATGATTCTCTAACTGATATCAATTTTTGGTCAAACTTATATTTTCATATGCAAAAACAATCTTAAGAATGGTGAACTAACCCTGGTATTGTTTCTTTCAGATTTCAATTCAACAATTTCTTCTTC